CATCTTGTTGTGATGCTGGGTGCCAGAATCTACGTAATACAGCCTCAAAATAGAAATTTGAGCGCATATCTGCTGCCACTGCCATATATATATATATATATATATATATATAACTTTAATCTGATCTGACACAGAGGTATATCTTTTAGATTTGTAATGTTTTTTTTTTTTTTAAATGGAGTCTCTTATGCTCAATGTTGCATTTATTTTATCAAAAATACAGAAAAAAGCTAATTGTTAAATATGATTGCAGTTTCTAATATTGGTTTCCTATCTTAGTATACTTTAAAATATAATTTATTTCTGTGACGCAGAGCTGAGTTTTCAGCATCATTACTCCAGTCCTCAGTGTCACATGATTCTTCAGAAATCATTCTTATTCTGATTTATCAGTGTTGAAACTCTTGTGCTGCTTAATATTTTTTTTGCAATCTGTGTTCCATAAACAAAATAAAAAGTTAAAAAGAACAGAATTTATTCAAAATAGAAATCTTTTCTAACAATATCACTTTTTATCCATTTAACACATCCTTGCTGAATAAAAGTATTCTAAAAGTGTCTTTATAAAAAAAAAAAGAAGAAATGTACTGACCCCAAATCTTGCAGACGTGCGTGTGCTATCTGGGTAACTTCCATGTTACACACAACTTAAGAGTTTTTATGCAGATAGTGTTGTTAACCGTTTTACGCGTTTTAGAAGATTGCATGAGAAAGGTAGCCAGTGCAGTCAGTAACTTAGCTTAGGTAACCTCCGAATAGAAGACTTGCTTCCCATCAATCAAAGCAAAAGAGCTGCGGGAGCTTGCTCTCTCGCCCTCCTCAGACTCTTGAGGTTGCTTCGGTGGTAGTTTCGATTGCGGAAATCCTTGTCATGGACAAAAAAAGTCTTGTCATGATTTAAAGGGGTCATATGATGCGATATTCAAGTTTTCCTTTCTCTTTGGAGTGTTACAAGCTCTTGGTGCCTGAGGAAATACATCAACTTGGATGTATTTGGATGTGTATATATGCTGTGGATCGCCGGATCGGCTTTCACCTATGAGGTGCCGGGCTGGACAAAAGTGAAGCGAACGCGGAGAGAGCGACAGTTCGCGAGAGAAGCCGAGTGTGTCTGAGAGAGAGCGAGATGCGCGAGAGAGACCGAAAATGTGCACGAGAGGGACAGACAGTCCGCGAGAGAATGCAGACAGGGTTTAATGTTTACGCGGTGCGATGCAACGCAAGGCATAAAAAGACAGTATAAGTCATTTATAATCAGTAATTATGTCCACACTGGATGCAACAAATGCCTCGTTTATAATGGGTTTTAATGTTTTTGTCTCGTCGCTCCGGCCAGACAGGGCATCATCACAGTATGGTGAGGGGCGTAACATTTCCATCTCACACTTGAGGTATTCGGCCAATCACAATGCACTGGATAGCTGGCCAATCACAGCACACCTCGCTTTTCAGACCGATGAGCTTTGTAAAAATCGACACGTTTCAGAAAGGCGGAGCATAGAGGAGAAACAATGTACAGTATGTGGAAAATTATGTTTTTTTTTGTTTTTTTTTTACTTTAAACCGCATAAACACATTTCATTACACCAAATACACAAAATAATTTTCTTTTTAGCAGCATCATATGACCCCTTTAAAGCCAGCTCGCGTATTGCAGCCAAGACTTCCTCACTACTGTTTCCACTAACATTAGATTCCGAGCGTTTCGATTTTTTCGAGTTTAATGTCAGTCAGAACCTACCAATGTTTTCCACATAAATACACCATAGTTTATGTAGCCTACCTAATAACAGAAAATCGGACAAGATTAAAAAAAAAAAATAAGTAAACATTTTGGAACTTCTGAAAAATGTAAGTTCTCCCTGTAAAATGTTTAAGGGGCATATAATAATAAATGTGATATTCTGTCATTTAGTGATTTTTCTTTTTCTCGTTTACAGTGCTTCTAAACTCCAGGTTACTGATATCTGCAGGTACTTCATCAGTCTATTAACCACATCACAAATGAGCAGTTACACCACAGTTAATGTAATTGTTTAGTCCAGTTTAATATTAAGTTGCTTCATATTTTGTATAGCCTACCTGTGTTTTTTTTGCAGCAGAGACGTAATAGATTCTCTGTTTTTAATTATAAATAAATCAAATCTGTCTTTAAGACTTAAACTACATATAAAAGCGTAAACTAAGGGTTGGAGTTTAGCGTCCTCAGCATCTTTTAGATCCTCCCACTTTAATAATGTTATGTGATGTCATAAAGCTTAAATTGCCATGAGGTAACTCCATACATACAAACACACCTTCAGTTCTGCTTGAAGTTTGATGACTTTTGCTCACGCTCACCTTGTTAACTAAAGACAAATGAAACCTTGTAGCTGGAATCTTATCTTTTCAGAGACTGTAATTACATGTGATGGCTTTGTCCAGCATCTCAGTTGTGGTAAGCTGTTGTGTTGTCACATGATTTATTTATTGTATTGTATGCAAAGTAGTCCATGATGAAATTATGCTTTTCTTTTATTCAGACTCTGGGGTGATCCATGTGCAGTCAGCAACCTGTGGCCGCACAAGCAGCCAAATCTGCAGCGTTGGACGACCCCAAAGTGAAATGGCTAATGTTCAGTGTTCAATAGATATCCCTGCGGTCTCTAAACGGTAGCAGTCTTTTTCACTACGGGCTGTGTTTGCGCTAAAGTTTTCTTTTAAAAACTGACACCATCGCAGCATTCCAATATGCCTACTTCCACTATAAAGCAGGCGAAAAACAGTACATGGAAAATAGTGTCTGAGTTTATAGTATTTTACAAAAAAAAACTTTTTGAAAAGTACCTGGATGACCTATTATTTCTGCTGAGATTAAGTGTGCATCTGATAGACACTTTAATGGTAGTGACGCAACTGTTGCCGGTGTTGTGCCGAATTATGCACCCCCTCGTTGAAGTCGCTACCTGATTGCCTAATCCCAACCCCACCCCTAATCCTAACCCCTCTCCCACACCTAACCCTAAACCTACCAATACTAGGGGGTGCATAATCTGGCAGGGTGCAAATTTCGGCACTACACCGGCAGGTCACGTCAGAGTAACAACATGACAGATGTATTCAGATGAATTTTATTTATACTCCAAATATTCATTCTACATGGAATGTACTGTAACAGTCGTGAAGCAAGTTTCAAAGCAAATATTGTACTGACTAGACAGAATGCAGTTTCAGGTGCAGCTCATATCTTTACTTTGGGGAATCTTTCCTACTGTAGTTGTTGGAAACCATGATAAACAACAGTAGTGTAGAGATTCCTGTAGCATCTTAATAGTGGTACTTGACTTAATAAAGGTACTTAACTAAGCTTTTCAAAAAATGAAGTGTGGTCACGTTGATGGCTATGTTGACTAATGTTTCCAAACATCCAGTTAGCAATGTGTCTTTATCGTTAAACAGATGTAATGGACAGAGAGAGTGTGAGTTAAACACTCAAGGACTTGCACCACAAGATCCATGCTATGGCACCTACAAGTACTACACTACCATCTACATTTGCATCCCAGCCGGTGAGGATTTTTATTTTTTTATTTTCCGGTTCATGTCCTTTTCGGTGCACGTTTGTAACTATCACCTTCTTCCAGAAACAAGTGTGACTTGTCATGGTGGATACAGTTACTTGAAATGTGGTAAGCAATTTTACTCCAACTTTCAATTCATAGCTTTCAGGCATGTGACTTGGCTTGAAGACTTGGAGGGCGAAACATCCATAGAACTGCAGCACAAGCCTGTCAATTGTCCATCTCTTTCCAAGCCGCAAATATTTAGATCACCTCTCAAAAGAATAAAACCAAGATATGTGAACATAATGCAAGTTTTGGCCATTTGCAATCCATATTAAATGCACCCGCCGCTATATATTTCAGTCACTAAACAGTGCGACAAAACATTGTGGAAAAACACTTAAAGTGCTTTAATGTATTTAAAATTCAGTACACACCTTATTGATTATGCTTACTTTTATATAGGCAAGCAGATGAGCCTGGAATATGAACGTAATGCGCTAAATGGTTCCGTGTTTTCTTTTATAATGGTTTTCTAATGGAAACAGTTTAATGTGTAACTTTGCGCATTATGTTTATATTCTGGGTTCATCTGCTTGCCTGTAAAAATTAAAGTAAAGTCACCATTATTTACAGGTGCATCTTAATAAATTAGAATGTCATGGAAAAGTTCATTTATTTCAGTAATTCAACTCAAATTGTGAAACTCGTGTATTAAATAAATTCAATGCACACAGACTGAAGTAGTTTAAGTCTTTGGTTCTTTTAATTGTGGTGATTTTGGCTCAGATTTAACAAAAACCCACCAATTCACTATCTCAACTAATTAGAATACTTCAGAAGACCAATAAAAAAAAAAATTGTTGGCCTTCTGGAAAGTATGTTCATTTACTGTACATGTACTCAATACTGGGTAGGGGCTCCTTTTGCTTTAATTACTGCCTCAATTCAGCGTGGCATGGAGGTGATCAGTTTGTGGCACTGCTGAGGTGGTATGGAAGCCCAGGTTTCTTTGACAGTGGCCTTCAGCTCATCTACATTTTTTGGTCTCTTGTTTCTCATATAGTGCTTTTTACAAAGAAGATTGTGTCAAATAAGCTTTACAGAATTAAATGGGGAAATAGTGTGCGGTTTTCCTCTGGCCAGGCGAAACCAGCAGTTTAATTCTAGGCTGCAACGAAGTCAGATTGTGCAGAGGACTCCTCTGGTTCCCGTGGTCTTGTCCCGGTGGCCGTCTAGGTGACAAGGTCTTTGGAAGGGATCTGTCTCTGGGGCTCATCACAAAGTATGCATCAGTAAGGTGTGTACTGAATTTCGCCTTTTAATATCAGCGTTTTACTACTTAATGCAAGCTGTGTAAAAATAACTGGCGGTCAGTGGAGCAATGCCTGGTTTTGCCCTCCAGGTGGGCATTCCTATAAGGGTGTGACATCACGTGAAAACTACAGTATCAATAGATCACAAAGATAAGCAATGCTTGAATGCCATTTTTTTTAAATCTCCTTGTAGAAAATGGTAAGATACAGATAAATGCTGCAAACTATGGACGTACAGATAAAATCACCTGCTCTGAAGGACGTCCATCTGAACCGCTCCAAAACACCAACTGCTATTCACCCAATGCACTGGCTCCTGTGTCCAAAAGGTAGATGGATGCTGTATGCAACTTCTACTGTACCTCACTGTCTTTAGTAATGATTAATGTAAACCTCTCCTTTTTTTGACATGTAAAGCTGCAATGGACTGGAAAGTTGTGAGGTGTTTGCGACACATACAGTCTTTACTGATCCCTGCGTTGGCATATACAAGTACCTCGCAATCTCCTATTTTTGTGTCCAACCTGCAGTCCGTGAGTATCCGTTAACCTCTTTACTCCCTCTCCATTTCTGTTCAACTAGTGTTTAGGGGATTTAAAATGCCAGCCTTATTTAGTACAGCACATCTGAGTTCAGAATTATTGTCTCCCATTTACCAGTCAAGACCCAGACTTGCTTTTCAAAGGCGTTATCAATATTTGAAATATTAGTGTTCACTTTACTAAACTGCTCTTGCATCCTCCGTTTTCTGTAGGTTCAAGTGTGATCTGTGAACATGTGAATAATACCCTGATATGTGGTGTGTATTATGCTTTTTTTTTTTTTGAGAAAGTAGTATTAGTGTGTTTATAGCAATTTTAAGAGCGGACTGCCACAAATCATAATGTATCACTACTTGTTGTTTTCATCCGAGAAATTTTACATTTTATTATTAAGCTGAGGTGTTTTTTTTTTTTTTTTAAAAGATCATGGGACTGTCATACACATTCACAGCGCTAACTACGGTATTTTTCTTTGAGAAAGTAGTATTAGTGTGTTTATAGCAATTTTAAGAGCGGACTGCCACAAATCATAATGTATCACTACTTGTTTTTTTTCATCCGAGAAATTTTACATTTTATTATTAAGCTGAGGTGTGTTTTTATTTTTTTTTTTTTATTTTTTTTTTTTTTAAAAAAAAAAAAGTTTAGGCCTATTTTTTTTTTTTGAATGTCACAATTGAGGTACAGGATGTGAAAATTTCAGATAAATGCTGACAGCAGCACGTGCTCTACTGGCCGACCTGCTTCTCAGCTTGCTAAAACTGACTGCTACGCCTCAAACTCCCAGGCAATAGCTACTAATGTGTGAGTGTTTTGTACGCTCTCCACAAGTATTCAACATTCAAGCTGATTTGCTGGATTTGCAGTTCCTAAATGCCCAAAATTGGCATTTGAGGTTTTTATTTATTTTGTTGTTGTTGCTGTAGGTGCGAAAGAAAAATTGACAAAGTAAAACAAATGCCATTAAATATAACCCAATACTAAATATGAGCACACGGGGTACAGTCAGTCTAACATTAATTTTCCATGACAAATTCACGCCCCCTCGCATATTCCTTTTCTACACCGAATGTGTCTTAAATTTAAATCGATATATTGTTTTCTGTGAGGGAGTAAACAAGATGATTTTCACATCATTCTGAAGCAAAAACTCTAGACTTCAAGATCCAGTTCTCAATAGTCTTGTGAATAAATGTTCTGTATGTGTTTTATGGCCTTATTTCAGTGACTTTAAAATTTTAGTTTTTCACTAAGCACGCATAAACGTTTTCTCAAAAACACAATCACATGCATACATGCTGCTCGCATATAATTGTAGCCCAGTTTGTGCTGATTATGGTGCTACTAAACTTAGCCATTAAAATGTTTATTAGCAACTGAAAAAAGCACAAATGTCAGGACCTGTCAAAACTTCTCCAGGGCCCAAAACACCCTCGGACCCCAGAGGGTTAATAAGAAATAAGCATGTTAGGCAATGTTTACAACTTGTGATCATAAAAATTCCAAGGAAAATATTAAGCAGTTTTTTATCCAAAGCCGTCTTGGTCTGAGATCTTAGCAAATTATCTGCAATTTCCCATTTTGCAAAGTCAACACAAATCATTTATATGAAATGCCAAACTTTCTATTAAAAAAAAAAAGACTAAATTTACAGAGTCATATAAATGGTAATCCCCAGTAGGTTTGTGAAATAAGCATGTTAGGCAATGTTTACAACTTGTGATCATAAAAATTCCAAGGAAAATATTAAGCAGTTTTTTATCCAAAGCCGTCTTGGTCTGAGATCTTAGCAAATTATCTGCAATTTCCCATTTTGCAAAGTCAACAAATCATTTATATGAAATGCCAAACTTTCTATAAAAAAAAAAAAAAAGACTAAATTTACAGAGTCATATAAATGGTAATCCCCAGTAGGTTTGTGTGATCTAGTCATTAGAAAGTTATTGGCTCTTTATTATGGCTAATTGATCTTATGAAAAATGAAGACTTCCACAAGCACAAATACTTTCAACATAAATGTGCATAGTCTTTGAATCTTTTCAGATGCTGCTTCGGGACTCTACTAATCATCGAGTAGGCTAATCCTGTGGTTTGCTTAAAGGGTTAGTTCAGCCAAAAACGAAAAATGTTGTTTCAAACCCGTAAGACCTCCGTTCATCTTCGGAACACAAATTAAGATATTTTTGATGAAATCCGAGCGCTTTCTGACCCTGCATACACAGTAACGTAACTATCACGTTCAAGACCTAGAAAGGTAGTAAGGACATCATTAAAGTCCACGTGACATCAGTGGTTTAACCGTAATTTTATTAAAATACTTTTTGTGTGCAAAGAACACAAAAATAATGGCTTTATTCAACAATTTTCTTAATAAAAGATATTTTTAGTTTTCTTTGCACACAAAGTATTCTCGTAGCTTCATAAAATTACGATTTAGCATGTCGCAATGAAAATGTTGTTTCAAACCCGTAAGACCTCCGTTCATCTTCGGAACACAAATTAAGATATTTTTGATGAAATCCGAGAGCTTTCTGACCCTGCATACACAGTAACGTAACTATCACGTTCAAGACCTAGAAAGGTAGTAAGGACATCATTAAAGTCCACGTGACATCAGTGGTTTAACCGTAATTTTATTAAAATAATACTTTTTGTGTGCAAAGAACACAAAAATAATGGCTTTATTCAACAATTTTCTTAATAAAAGATATTTTTAGTTTTCTTTGCACACAAAGTATTCTCGTAGCTTCATAAAATTACGATTTAGCATGTCGCAATGTTTATTTTAACTGTATTTAAGTCCTTACCTTTCTGGGCCTTGAACGTGTCAGTTGCGTTATTGTCCATTTAATCAAAAATATCTTAATTTGTGTTCCGAAGATGAACGAAGGTCTTACGGGTTTGGAACGACATGAGGGTGAGTAATTAATCACAGAATTTTCATCTTTGGGTGAACTAATAGGAATATATGTTAATTTAGGAATATAAATAAAGGAATATAAAAAAAGATATTAATTGGAATATATATTCATTTATTCCTATGAAGCAAAGCTAAATTTTCAGCATCATTACTCCAGTCTTCAGTGTCACATGATCCTTCAGAAATCATTCCAATAAAGTGATTTGCTGCTCAAGAAATCGAAACCATTTTTGCTGTTTTTAGGATTCTCTGATGAATAGAAAGTTCAAATGAACAGTATTTATTTGAAATAGAATATTTTTAACATTATAAGTGTATTTACTGTCACTTTTGATCAATTTAATATTAAATTGAGTAATATTAAGCAGCAAAAATGGTTTTAAATGTTGATAAGAAATGTTTCTTGAGCACCAAATCGGCATCTTATAATGATTTCTGAATGATCACGTGACACTGAAAACTGAAGTAATGATGCTGAAATTCAGCTTCAAGGAATAAATTATATTTTAAAATACAGTAAAATGGAAACTAATTTAAATTGTAATAATATTTCACAGTATTACTGTTTTTACTTATTTTTGACCAAATAAATGTAGCCTTGGTGAGAAGATCTTATTCCAAACTTTTGACAAGTAGTGCACTTACTTACACTGTATTAACAGTAAATTGTGCATAATTACATGCAACTAACCCTAAACTAAACAGTTGTCCTAACCCTATAGTAAGTACATGGTGTTAGTTAGTATTATGTAGTACTTAATTGTATAGTTTTACCGTAAAAATCACACTTTTAATTAAAGTGTAACCAGGTGACATTTGTCTTTAATTATGTTTCCCTTGATGGCAGAGTGACAGCGTCTTCAGTGATGCTCCTCCCACACCGACCATGTCCACTCCCAGAAGCGCCCCCATGCCGCCCCATCTGGACGAGACCACCGTGAGCATTGAGCTTCCTCCTAGAGTACCCAGTGGGAGCTTTATGCTGGAGGAGGCCCTGGTGGACTCCCGCCCGGCCTCTGCCCTGTCCGAAAACACAGTGATAAGTGAACAGCCTCAGAGGTTGTCTCCCCTGCCCAGCAGGTGGGCCTCCAGTCACAGCAAACTTGCCCCATTGTGGATACTGAATAACAACCAAAGGCAAGGAGCACACAAAGATAAGATGCAAAAGGGTAGAAATATTCCTGCATAAACAGAGGCTAATGCAGAATTAGAGAATTTAACACTAATGGCTTGATTTGCTCAGAGTCTCGAGGTCTGAAGCTGTTTGAGCGATTTTGACTGAAGGATGTATTATTTGGTCAGATTTTAGTTCAAGACAAAACCTAACCGTGTTTTTATCTCATGTAATTAGTCTGTAATTTGATAACTGTCCGTTAACAAATCACTTTACAGCTTTGAGGCACTCCAGAAAGATTTTCACTGCAGTTTAACATGAACAAATGCTAAGCATTTTGAATTCTGGGGAGTTGCGATGCTTGCCAAGCTTGAGAGACATGCTATGTAGATGCCATGTACTCTAAAATGGGAGCATGGCAGGGGTTTTCAACCTTCACACACTCAGGAACCTCTCAGCCAACCCCAGGGTCACCAGTTTAACTATCTGAATTTTCTCAGTAACAATTTCTAGTAACTTTCATCAAGACCATTAACTAACATCACTGCATTATAATCATTATCATTATTTACAAATTAGTTAATAGTTTAAAACGCATGACCCCCCTGCAGTACTTTACAGGGACCCTTGGTTGAAAACCCTGGCACTGGTATCACAAACTTAAAGTGATAGTTCACCCAAAAAACAAAATACTGTACTCAGTACTCGCCTTCATGTTCATCCAAACCAGCATGTTACCTTCTACACAAGACTTTTTTCAAAATATCTTCTTTCCCAAAATGTTTGTTTTTATTTAATTCTTTTATTTAATTTTTTTAATACAGCACAACTGTTTAATAATTAATAATAACAGGGTTTCTGCAGGTCCTTTAAAAGTCTTAGTCTTAAAAATTTGTTGAATTACATTTAAGGCCATAAGTCTTAAATGGTACAAGAAAGTCTTAATTATGATGTCAAGAGGTCTTAAATTTGGGGACGGAGCGACAAGAATTGTGATATGGATGAATGTGACGATTGAACTTCAAAAGGCTATGATTTCATTAAATAAACACGAGCGCTGCATGTTTCAAAGTCAGGCACTGCTTTGTGCACTGTTTGTGTCATTTGATAGATAATAATTGTTTAAATTAATATGGTATTCATTTTATTTGTGCAGGTCTTAAATCTGAGCTTAAAAATCCTGCACATACCCTGAATAAGAAATGTTTCTTGAGCAGCAAATCAGCATGTTAGAATGATTTCTAAAGGATAATGTGATACAGAAGACAGGAGTAATGATGCTGAAAATTCAGCTTTGCTTCACATGAATGAATTACATGTTTTAATAGAATTAAAAAATATATGTATATTATACAATATTATAGTTTTTTTTATTTTTGATCAAATAAATTAGGTTTCTCTCAAAAACTAAATTTAAAAAGTCTTTCCGACCCCAAACTTTTGAAAGTGTAAATCATATGAAAAAATTTTGGAATGTCATTAGGTATTAGTAAATGGTGACAGAACTTTCATTTATAGGTGAACTGTCCCTTTAAGGCCTATTCACACCAAGAGCAAAGCAGCGAAGTGACAATAAAATTGATGTCTTCATTCTCGTAGGATGGCATAACGGAAGCAAAACACACTAAATTTGTCAATAATTTGTCTTTTTTTAACTTTGCTGACAGCCAGTGGCTTTTTTATGTTCCCTTTAATACAGAGTCTGAGGTCTGAATCTATAGTGTGCAGGGGCGGACTTAACCAATAAGTGAGGTAAGCGGCCGCTTAGGGCCCCGGGGAATCAAGTGGCCCCATCTGATATTGCAGAAACATATTTGCAGCGTTGAACAATGTAGCCAATCACAGACATATCTTTTAATTTCTTGAACGCAATGACCAGAAGTGCTTAAGTTAGAATCCACTCACCCCCAAATCACTAAGTCTGCACCTGCTAGTGTGCCATGGAAACATGTTTCAATTAAAAAAAAATTAAAATATGGGGTGAAAATTAATGCTCCGTGTGAATAGGCTTTTAGGTGGTACACTGTAACATTTACGGTCAGTTTTTTTGCATCTTGTCTTATAAGGAAACTTTGACTTGCAGTACTTTTAAACACCTGGAAAGTACACTATCATTGTGGAGCATTATCAGCTGTTGCAGCCTTGGCTTATTGCAGTTAGCATGAAGAAATGCAGGTGACAGGAATGTTCTCTCAGTTGTTTGTCAACTCATACTTTTCAAAAGGCATTTGAAGAACGTCAAGGAAAGTCCACAAGTTGATAGAACAACCTCAAGATGTCTAGGATTTTTTGTATATCATCTTAATGTATTTTTTATATTCAGGGCTGACACAACCAGAGCTTGTGACTATATTCCTTCCCCATCCCCGGATGGAGGATTGCAAAATGAAACCACAGGAGGGGTCATCACTCCAGGAGGACATGGAGGAGTAGTAACAGGAGGAGTGGTGACAGGAGGAGGAGTCACAGAGATGACATATCCTACAGAGCAAGGCAGTGTCAGCCAGGGGGAGCCTCAGAATGCTGTCTCAAATGATAGGCGAGTACAACATGTTTGACTACCCATAATGCACCAAAACAAGCACTGTCATGCATTGATATGTATACGTAGATGCATCATTAGCGGCTTTTTCTATGGGCCTTTGTACAGAATTTGTCCGCCACATTGGAATAGTCAAAGCCGGTCCGTGAACACTCGAGAGCAAGTTGACTGTGTCTACAACCATAGTTATATGCATGTATAATAAATATCTGTATATGCAATAGACTTCAGCAGATGATTTTGCTAAACTAACAGAACAAGACAAAGACGTTACATACAAATACATATAAAAACACAAACCAACACATTGTCACCTGTGATAGCTTGTCACATTGTTGTTACAGATAAAATGTAACGTGGATAACATTAAATACATATTTTTTCATCAGACTCTACCCTTTCTCTACCTGTCCATCGTTCTTGCATATCCACCATGTTTGTAGTTCTTTTTTACACTTTTTTTTTTTTTTTTACTTCTAATCGAGTCATTCGTCCAACAAGCAATGCGTTGTGGGCAATATTAGCTGTTAGAGAGTGCACTGGAAATTTTCTACCGTAAACCATCCGAGTACCTTTGGGATATTCATTTCAACATACTACGATTTGCAACACGCTAATTCTAATTTCAAATATTATTTTGGATGGATAGTATGCGAATTGAGATGCAGCAATTGATTTTCACTGTGAGTGACGACACATTAACCGTTCCAAGTTGGCGGACATGTCGACATGTCTGGAGCGGTGGTATATATGTGGGTAATATAGGTCTCCTTACATCTATGCTGTCAAGGCACTGATATACTTCAAGCAAAATCAAAGAATGTTGTCATTTCAAACTAAATCCGACCAAAACGGAGTTTGTTTTGAGAGTTTTGAAACGGTTTGCCAAAGCAGATTTTTTTATTAGAAAACATTTTTTTCTATAAATTACAACAAGGAACAAACTGGTGTGATGTCATTTCAAACAAAATAGGGCCAAAATGAAGTTCATTAGGAGTTTGTTTCGGGAGTTCAAAACAGCTTGTCAAAGTGAACTTTCTAGAAAAGTTTGCTCTGGCTGGTAAACACCCTCAAACTACCATTGGTTAGTGGTGATTATGTAACACGTGGGTGTGGCTCTGAAGCTCCGCCATCTTTAACATGGAAATCTTCATTGGTTAATTTCTTATGTTCAGTCCAGTCCGTCGAGGTTAGATGCATGTTAAAACAGGAACGCATCCAAGAGCTGCTTTATAATAGAAAAATTCTAATTGAAAACAACACTGACACTGTTTTATCATGTTTAATACTGTAAAGCTGCTTGCTTTAAAGCAATCTTCCATATAAGTTCTATATAAATTAACATGATGTAACTTAACTGGAGTTCCAAATTGCAGAGCCTGTGCAAACATTCACATCACTATGATCAGATGCTTTCTTAACTGCTGTTTTCTCACTGCTGTCATTTTGTTGTGTGTTTGTATTGTTATTGAGAGGAAAGCGCGCAACACATATTTACATATTCATCTAAACGCTGCTCTCAACAAATGTGGACAGTGTCAGGATGTTTGCTAACAGTAAAACCACTGCAAAGGTATTTCAATTGTCTCATTACCCTAAACGAAGAACAAAAAAGAACTTCCCTGTGAGTATATTGGGACATTCATATGACTCAAACAGAAGGGACCTTCTCATATTTTACAAACTTTGCTCACAAATGAATGTATGTGTCTTTTGTTTGTTTTGATGTTTGAACAGACCATGGTTTCCTGAGGTTCCTCCAGCACAAACACCAGCACTTAATGGGAGCAGTGAAAGTGTGGCGCCAGTTCAGCCCAATAACATTAACAACACCACTTACCAAGGCAACATCCAAGATGCTGGTGGCTACCAAGGTCATGTCTACCCTGGAATTGGCTATAATGCCAATGTTACCAATGGGACTGGTTATCCAGGCAACCATTATTCCAGCAACGGCTACAGCAGCAATGGATACAGTGGTAATGGATACAATGGTAATGAATACAATGGCAATGGTTCTCTGCAAGGCGACGCATGCTTCCCCCGACTCCCTTAGGTAAAACCAACTACAGTATTATATTTCTGCACTGTGTTCAGCTGCAACATGTTCAGCTCACATTGTTTGTTTTTTCCTGTATCTGACAGGCCGAAAGCCCAACTTTAACATCCAGTGTTTGAGAAAGCAGACCAGTAATGAGGATCTGCCCATTCCAGGCACTTACCATCAAAACTCCCCACGCTGCAGGGCACAAGCACAGGTACAAATCCCCAACATCATTTGTAGATAATCGACATGTCTTCTGTCTCCTGGTGGATTATCCATTAACTTCAGGAAGCAGAAGGACATTGAATATAATTGTAAACAATGATTAAAAAATAATTTTAAAAATACAACTTTTTACAGGGTAATCTTTGCTGATTTGAATGAACAGTAAAAAATAACATTGATATTTCAGAATGAATAAGTGGATTTAAAGGGGTCATATGATGCGATTTCAATTTTTCCTTTCTCTTTGGAGTGTTACAAGCTCTTGGTGCATAAAGAAGATCTGTAAAGTTGCAAAGACTAAAGTCTCAAATCCAAAGAGATATTCTTTATAAAAGTTAAGTCAACCACGCCTACCTAAAACGGCTCGTTCTAACACGCTCCCACATATCTACGTCACTATGTGGGAAGATTTGCATAACGCCACCCAAATGTTCACGCAAAGAAAGAAGGCGTAACTTTTATTCTCGCTGTAGTATTGTTGTTGCCGCCGCCATGTCGTGAAGGTGCTGTGTGCTTCGTTGTGAAAGCGAAACTACTTTGTTTGGTCTTCCAAAAGAGGACACGACTAGAAATCAGTGGTTAAGTTGTATTTACAACACTGTTCCAGAACAGTTCAACCCAAATATTCAGATGTGTGCAGTGCATTTTATGGAGGACTGTTTCCTGATCCTGGTAGAGTAGACTACAATGCCGGCTGTTCTGACTCTCAGACTGTAAGTGCGGTTTTTATATATAAAGAATTTGTCACTGACGATTCAAACGAGAGTTTTGAGCAGTGTAGAGTAGCGCTAAAACCGCACTTACAGTCTGTGAGTCAGAACAGCCAGCATTGTAGTCTACTCTACCAGGATCAGGAAACAGTGCCATAAAATGCACTGCACACATCTGAATATTTGGGGTGAACTGTTCTGGAACATATATATAAAGAATTTGCTCAAAACTCTCGTTTGAATCGTCAGTGACAGTGTAGAGTAGCGCTTGTTGTTTGTCATTTCTCCGATCACAAATGCAGACATGGTTTTATGTTTACACGGCGCGATGCAACGCGTAAAAAGACAGTATAAGTCATTATAATTCTCTGAAGTCCAACTAAAGATGTACTAAAATATATTTAATTTAAAAGTGGAATTATTGCAAGTATACTTCAGGTACACTCTAAATATCTCACATTTAAAGATCAATATTATTCAAAGATCATACAATCCTCATCAATAGTGACATTAAAAGACATTTTAGGCTTCATATTAAGAAATGTGCATTGTGCAATAAAGAAATACTCCAAATAAAGTTCAATTAGGTTTTTATATCAGTAAGTCTTAAGTGATATGTGACCCTGGAGCACAAAACTTAAGTCGCTGGGGTATATTTGTAGCTATATCCAAAAGTACATTGTATGAGTCAAAATTATAGATTTTTCTTTTATGCCAAAAATCATTAGGACATTAAGTAAAGATCATGTTCCATGAAGATATTTTGTAAATTTCCTACCGTAAATATATCAAAACTTAATTTTTGATTAGTAATATGCATTGCTAAGAACTTAATTTGGACGAATTTAAAAGGCAATTTTCTCAATATTTAGATTTTTTTGCACCCTCAGATTCCAGATTTTCAAATAGTTGTATCTCTGGCCAAATATTGTCCTATCCTAACAATTCGGATGATGTATAAATGTCAACTTTTTTGTGTTCAAAATTAACAAAATGTATATAATAAGCGAGTACACCATGAATCCATTTTCCAAAGCGTGTTTTTGGCTTGTCCTGAATCACTATGGTACACCTATAATAAGTGTTTATATTCGGACTATTTAGACTGGTTCGGGTAGGTACCGCTGCGGAGTAGCCCAGTACCTGCGTGATTCATCATAGACATAAACAGAGAGAAATAGCTCCGGCTACAATGTTCTTCCGCAAGACGCACGCAGTTCTGTTTATTAACCACTAGAGCACCAAAAGTTACGGACTGCAGTTTTAAATAAATTATAGCATAGTTTTTTTTTTACTAGGGTTACTATAAACACAATTTATATAAACAAAAAGTTCAATGATTTATGTACCTGCTCCAACAGACAAACAACAGCTACGACTCTCGGCGGAGCAGCATTTCATCTGTGGTTTCTTCGGCCTCTTGGGCGAACAACCAGGCCAGACGGGGCCATCTCCTCTACGCCCCTTATATTCTGGTGAACGAGGTGGGGGGCACTCAGGCAATGTGGGGCGACACCAATGGCAGTGCCAGTCTGCCGGCATCGGCCCGTCCCGGATGGATTGGCAGTGGAATGGCAAGCGTGGCCCAGCAGCCTCGAGCGTACACCACTCTCAGAGTGCCGTCCCAACACAGCCAATACATAGAGAAGGGAAGCGCTGACAGCCTCGTGGAGTCGGTAAATGCGCTTTCTGAATGGTGCATCAAATGACCATTTTGCCTGAAAATAAGTCATATGGATAGTTTTCATTTCAATGCATTCAGTGCAGTTACAGTGGCTATAAAAACAATTTAAGCCGGACTTTATTTTGTTTTGCAGCAGTGAAGCATAGACTTTTACTGTAGCTTTTTTGGCTGCGATTAAATTTTTTTTTTTCTTAACCCCTATAAAGCCTATTGTATCATATTTGACACTAATTCCTAGGGCCTCTAAATTATAAACATGATCTTTGACCTGTTGTACACAATCTACTTCATTTTGCTGTCGTCTGATGGATAGTTTATAACTTTTTATTAAGTAAAAGGCCTTTTAGTATAATTGTAAAATCTCCCCCCTTTAGGTTGTGGTTCATGTGTCTTTGCTGCGAAATCTACTGATTTTAATAAAGTAAATATAAGAATAACTTTATATTGTTAGTAATATTTCAAGATGAACACTTACTGGACTGAAGCAACTTGGGTCTACTTGATTATATATACATACAGTGGGTACGGAAAGTATTCAGACCCCCTTAAATTTTTCACTTTTCTGTCAATATGGGGTGCTGTGTGTACATTAATGAGGAAAAAAATTTAACTTAAATTTTTCACTCTATGTTATATTGCAGCCATTTGCTAAAATCATTTAAGGGGGTCTGAATACTTTCCGTACCCACTGTATTTTATACAAATATGATCTTTCAGGCTTTTGAGTGATGTTTATTTGTTCATCTCTCAGTCATTGTTGTATTGCATTGCATTATATGTTTTGCCTCCACAATTAAAAACTACAGAGCTTTAATAATAAGCCTAAGCACCTCTAATGCATATTATTGGGAAATATAGAGCGACACCTGATATTCATATGCATTTAATGTAAGTAGATTTTTATGCATTACTGTACTGTTATAAAAATCTCATTAATTTATGAAATTCTGCACCAAATTGCATATTTTCACTCCGTTTGGGCTCGGAGTAAAAAAAGGTGTCATATCCCTCAAGTGTGAGGTTCATATTCTTACTATACAACATTGTTATATGAGCCATGAAAATCTGATGTATCAAATATGACACTCAAAACACATATGCAAACTTTTCTTTTTAGATTTAGAGTTAAATAAATTGTTCTTGTGTGTGTGTGTGTGTGTGTATGTATGTATTTGTTTTAGATCCTGATCTCTGAAGGCTTGGGTCTATATGCCAAAGACCCCAAATTTGTTGACTTTGCAAAGCGGGAAATCGCAGATGCCTGTCACTTGACTATTGATGAAATGGAGAGCGCTGCAACTAACCTTTTAAGTCATGGAAGGGCAGGACAACCGATCGGACGCTTTGAGGAGGATCTGGCTGATCAGATGAACGGTGTTATATCATACTAAACGGGCTTCAGTTTGTTGGGGAGGGCAGAACATAGATTGTCAGTGTGATTGTGATGTTCTCTGCATCACAAACTCAAATACATTCAACTTTTCATATTCAGTTCAGCTGGGCAGAGTTAATAATAATTATATTCAATTCCTTCAGTAGATATAAGGAAATTGTGGTTAACGCAATGATCTTACACCTATTGCTTTGCATAGAAGTTCAGTTAGAGCTTAAAGGGTTAATATATATTTAATTAGAAAACAACTGTAAATTGTAATAATATTACTGTATTTTTGCTCATATAAATACAGTATTGGTGTGCATGAACTACTTTTTTCAAAAACTTTTGGCCCATAGTGTACGTAACAAGGGCACTAAAATAAAGTGATATGCTTTTTTGCATTTAATATACACAATATAAATAAGTTACAAAATAAGTTTTTTTGTATAGCATTAAGCATTCTGTTGGTTATCTTACAGCACACTGCTTGTTCTATTCCCACTGGATTTTCAATGTTAGATGCTGTGTGTTCTCACCCTGAAGAACTCCTCTTCTTCCATCATCTCCCCCTCCAGCCCTTCCTCATCCTCCATCGCAATAGCCAGACGCATCTCTGGGGCCAGATCCTGTAGTGTGCGTAACCTGGCCTGGACCACACAAGATGAGAGTTAAATATGTGTTGTGTGTTTTTGTACTGTATCATATTTGACACAGACTTTAATGGCTCATATAGTATGATATAGAGAGAATATGGAGCTCATACTTGAGGAAAAAACATGAAACTCTGTGCAGTTGCTGATATTTGCATTGCCAAAAAAGATAAGAGAGATTTTTATAACAGCCTAAATGACTATTCGCATAAAATACATATTATTGGTTGTCACTCTATATCTCCCAATAATGTCTTAGTAAAATGATTATTTAAATATCTAGATATACACATCGTCATAACATGCCCAGCTTGAGTTATATTGAAGAAAGAAAATGTGCACTTTAAATAAGAAATAACAATCTTAATGCTGCCCAGTTCAGCTTTTTATGTCATAATTATTTCACTCTTAACTGATATTTTCTCAAATATATTGTTTCTGATCTAAAATAATAATAATTCTAATACATGTAAAAATTGTCATTTTAAAAGCAAGATAACACACAAAGACAACTGTCATAATTATTTACCTGGAGAGAGGCTGACTTGTCCTTGCCTTTCTTCTTCCTCTCTTTCTCCTTTCGTTTGCAAAACTTTTTAAAGTAGTCCTAAATCAGGAAGCTGGCATAAAACTTTCCTGCAGTCACCTCATTCCCTAAAATGCAGATATACATTTGGAAAAAAAAAAAAGACAAAAAAAAAAGGAAGGAGTAAAGTTGTACATGTCGTTGGTAGTCCATATCAAGCACGTAAAGCCTATGATAAGATCTCATAACATACTGTACCTGAAGGGAAAGGTATAACGTCCTCTAGAAGTTTGGGTTTGGTGTGTTTCCAGATCTTTTTAATGATAGCTCTCAGCTCCTCGTTCTGCTGGTCAATGGGGCCTGTGTTGAATGGAAAGGTACTGTATAACTGTATTTAGGATAGATAAATGCTTCATTTTTTGCTGTAGTGTGTGATAAAAAGCAAACAACAGAGTGGTTATACAGTAGTTCAGAGGGATAGTTCACCCAAAAATGAAAATTCTGTCATTAATTACTCACCCTCATGTTGTTTGAAACCTGTAAGACCTTTGTTCATCTTCGGAACACAACTTAAGATATTTTTGATGAAATCCGAGAGCTTTCTGACCCTGCATAGACAGCAAGGGTACTACCACGGTCAAGGCACATAAACGTAGTAAGGAGGACATTGTTAAAATAGTCCATGTGACATCAGTGGTTCAACCATAATTTTACAAAGCTACGAGAATACTTTTTGAGTGCAAAGAAAACAAAAATAACAAATTTATTCAACAATTCTTCTTCTCCGCTTCACCCTAGCAACCATTTTGGAGAGTATCACGACGCATGCTCTCCAAAATGGCACTAGGGTGAAGCGGATGAGAACAATTGTTGAATAAAGTATTCTTGTAGCTTTGTAAAATTATGGTAGAAGCTCTCAGATTTCATCAAAAATATCTTAATTTGAGTTTCGAAGATGAACGAAGGTCTTACGGGTTTGGAACGACATGAGGGTGAATACTTAATGACAGAATTTTCATTTTTGGGTGAACTATCCCTTTAACAGTGTATATGCCAGTGTGCGTGTATAGAAGTTTAACCGTCTGTTTTAATCTTGAGTGACGTTCTGACGAGAGCAAACAGAGTGGCATTAAAGGACACGGTGCCATCAGGATGGAGAGGAACATTCATAGCAACCAGTCTCTGCCAATGAGAAAGAGAGAAACAAAGGTGTAGTAATTAATGGTTGTAAGGACACTGCTGTGTGAAGCATGTTGAAATGAAGCTGTTAGTGTGTTCTGGAAGGTCTTTATGATATATTGATACTTTTATTAATACTTTCATCCAGCAAGAACATTAAATTGATCGGAAGTGACAGTAAAGACATTTATAATGTTACAAAAGCTTATTTCAGATAAATGCTATTCAAACATGTTTGAACAGTAGTGTATAGCTTGAGCTCTTCTTAAATGCTAGTGTACAGTTTTTTCACCTATTTCATTGTCAGCCAGTCACTGTACAAATCCAAATCACGCTTACCCTACAGGCTACTCGATGTGGACAGAGTTTCCCAAAGCCCAGCGGAGGCTGAATTCTGTGCAACATGGTGACTACATCTAGATGTTTAATCCTTCCCCTGATGCAAAAACATTCAATAGTATTTATATTATTTAGTATTTGGTTATGCTCTCATAAAAACAGACACAGAGCATATTGCTTCTCACTTACGTGGCCTCTGGGTCGTAATCTGACCAGACTCGTTTAAACTCATCGAGGTGATGAGTGCCCAGCACAGTCCAGTCTCTGGTCAGATACTCAAAGTTATCCA